GATCTGGTCTTGAGATGGATCGGAGTAGCCCTTCTCTCTGCTGGATCATCCAGGAAAATACAAATACACACTCACACAACACACAGAGAGACTCACAGAAACAAACACATAGAGAGTGTGCAAAAGAGCAAGAGGTCGCGCAGACGTTCCCCTCGCAGGAAGGCACAGGGTGGACCCCCTCCCTTGCAAACCCCACTTCTCCTTCCCGCCCCCCAAATCCTCCAGTTTCCCCCATCGCAGCCCCCTTTGCCTCTCCAGCCCCACCTGGGACTTTGACCCTTTAAAATAGGAAGGGGGGGTCCTAAGTCATTAGAAGGAGGGGGGGGGAGATGGGAGGCAAGTTACTTTCTCTCCCATTCCTTTGTTTCCATCCACCGGATACTCCTCGCAGGATTCAGGGGAAGGCAGGGGCTCCTTAACCCCTCCCGACACTCACATACACACACGCACTCGATGAATCCCCCCTTCCTGGAGGAGACGCAGAGGAAAAAACCACCCCCCCACCGCCTACCAGCCCCTCCCCTTCAGCGCCCACCTCCGTCCAGGTCCCGATCCGGGAGGCGCCCCAAAAGCCCCGCTTCTCTCCTCCAGGCGCCTTTCTTGGGCCGAAGGGGAAGAGGCAGGCGCTGCAGGATCCCCGCTTCTTCCGGCTCCCGTTCAAAGGGCGTCCAGGGGAGGGGCTCTTCCTTCGCCTTCGTAGCTCTAGGTTCCTCCCCTTCCCCCCTCCTGCACGAACGGGGGGGGGAGAGATTGCAGAAACAACCGGGGGGGGCGTTGAAGGGTGAGGCTCAAGCCCTCCTTTGCACGTGGGTGTCTTTTCTTGTGTGCAAAGAAATTCCCCCTCTGTGGCCAACGTGGCGGGAGAAGAAGATCGAGGCCGGGGGGGAAGTGGCTTTTTCCCGCAGGGCCGGTCCTTCAGAGACCGAGGGGACTCCTTCTGTGATCGGGCCTCCCTGTGAGGAGGAAGAAAGGAGGCCGAGCCCATGGACAGAAAAGTCTGTGTGGAAGCGGGAGGCCGACAGGCAGGCAAAGGAAGACCAGAGACTCCGGGAGCGGAGGGGAGACTTCGTCACCTCACGTGTCCTCTGCCGTGCCTCTGAGGAATCGGGGCTCCAACGTCCGAGTCCGAACCGGGGAAGGGCTGGCTTTGTAGCCCAGCTTCCCAAACCCCCTGGATCTGAGGGAGTGGGTTCTGATTTGCCAAAGCTCCTCCAGGAACCCCTTGTTTAGCCTTTCTGGTGCCAAAATATGTGGGCGTTGGCGTCTCCCCCTTTCCAGGCTGCCCCCCTCCCACTTGATTTTGCCCTCGTGCAGACCCCGGTCTCTTCCGACCGGAGGGTGACCTGGATCTTTTGGGACTTCGCGGTTTCCTCGCCTCCCTTCCCTCCTGGGACTGATGGGTCTGGCGGCCAGTTCCTTGGCCAGCCTGGGCTCTGGCCTTGAGGGGGTCTCCCTCCTTTCACCCTCCTCTTCCTCTCCCTTTCTCCCCAGGATAAGATAAGTGGAGCAGGTGGGGTGGGAGTCAAACTTGCTATTCCTCTTGACTTTGAAGAACCCAAAGAGTTTTCATATATAACTGATGAAATATATTTCATTTCATGTAGATCCTCTCCCCCCCCCCATGTGTTTCTTGTATAAACACCACACCCACCTTACTCTTATTCAACACATTGTATATCTTTGGGAAAAGAGCTGTTTCTGAGAACATCCTTCCCCTTGGGACTCAACCTGGATATTTTCCAGGGCAAGGTGGATTGAGCCCCCCCCCCCAAAAAAAAAGGAAAGGGAGGGACCGAGGAAGCTGCCTTCACCTCATCTGTTTGGTTTATCAATTCTCCCAACACCCTCTCTTCCCTCCAGTGAGCAGCAGGGCTTTCTGTAAGAGAACGAGCAGGTTTTCTTTTCTCCCTAAAAAGTAATAAAAGTTTTCTGGAGTGGCTGCCATCCTGGGCTAGAATCCATCCACTCTGAGAAAATAAGAACTGAACTCGTGGCATGAATAAAAGCCAACAGCGATATATTTTACCTCCTGTTGCAAAGGCTGGGCTACTTTGGTCAGGCAGAGAGTCGGGATTTTTGCTACATCTGGAAATAGCCAAAATTTATTTTAAAAAAGCAAGGTGATGGCAACAAAACACTATTGTTACATACAGCTATGACCTCACCTGTCCGTCACTGCTGAAGCTGTGAGTCATCGACCAATGGTGTGACGGAGGGTGGGACATAAGGGGGGGAGCTGTGGTATATAAGGGGAGGGAATGGTATGAGAGATTCAGATAGGGCTGTGAGATAGGGTATGAGATAGGGAGTTAGGAGAACTGTGCTACTTTGTGAGAGTCTGTGTGAGTCTGTGTGTGATAGTGATATTATTATAGTGATTAAAGTATTATTTATATTCAAGTGATTTACCATTCCTTTTTGTTTGTACATAATAAACCTGAGTTTTATTTTTAAATCATACATTGGCCTGAAGCTACTCATTTGAGGGAATGGTTGGTGGCAGTGGAAACAAGAGTGATTGAAAGTGATGTAACGGCCCCTTTGTGAGGTAGAAGGAGGTTGTTACAACTTCCTTCTGCTTCTGATTTCTTTTTAAGGTGAGGGATGTGTCCTTGGAATGGAGGAAATAAGGCAAACACAGCTGCATGATTCCATGAGTAAAACACTTTGATTTTTGAGCCATGTTGTTCTCTGCTCTAACTAACGGGTGCCTCTGTCACTTATTCAATCAACTGTTATCCCTGTAAGGACCCATGGAGTTTGTCTGTTGTTTCCATCTCAGATCTTACTCTCATGGCAGGCGGTTGATATGGAGTGAATTTTCCCCATTTGTGAGCTATTCAACATTTCGTATGTGCTCCACTGTCACTCAAAACCTTTCCACTAACCACAGACTTATAAAATTACTCCCGTGTGGGTTTTTTTTAATGTATCCTTACGTTTCTGCTCAGACTGAAGCTGTTCCAACATTCTTTGCCTTTCAAAGGTTTCCCTTTTGTATGAGATCTTTGATGAATAGAAAGATGACTTTTATTAAAGGTCCTCCTACATTCCGTGTATTTCTATCGCCTCTCCCCTGTATGACATCTTTTATATCTACAGGGCAGAACTTCATTAGGATACCTGATTCCACAGAAATCCTACAGAAATTTACAGACCTCCCATGCAAGGGATTCTCTAATTCGTGAAAACTGATATGATTGCAGAAAAAGGGTGACTTCCAGAATGAAACCAGATTGTGGGGGTTCAGTATTTTGAGACAGCTAGAGATGTGCAGATTTCCTCTGGGCTCCAATAAAGACAAATGACCCACCGGTGTCCTACCGAAAGCCCTCTCTGAGGGTTTGGTCCATCTCTCCCTTTCTCTCTTCAGCTAGCTTGCCTCTCTCCTCCCCGATCTTTCTCCCCCACTGTCTCATATCTTTCTCTTCCCAATATGAGGTTTCTCTGATTTTACTTCTCTCGACTCCTTTCTGCCTCTCATGAGGTATCATCAATTTTCCCCACTGTTTGGTCCAGGGTTTCTCCATTCATATCCTCTCCCAGCATTGTGGTAATATCCTCTCCTTCTTTTGCCCTATACCTCTCCAGCTTCCAATGTCTCCCTTCTTGATTGTTCCCCAAGATATATTTCTCTTCCCTCCTCCTCTCTTATTTCTTTCTTTTTCTCCTGTACCTCTGCTGCTCTTAATGTTCCTTTACCTGGTGGATCCTTCCTTTCCTCTGATGGACCTTCTGCTTCCCTCACTGGAACTTCCACCTTAGACACCCCTGGCTCTTTATTTCCAGACTCTCCCATCCCTTCATTGGTCTCAACCTTTGATAGTTCATCCAGAACGATCTCTATCCTCTTGGTTTTCTCTGTGGCCCTTCTCATCTCTCTATCTTCCCATTCTCCCCATGGAGGTGTCACTTCTCTGAAGGGTCATATGTTGTCTCTGGGGCTCCGTGAGCTTCTCCCTCCTCTCCTCAGCAAAGGACAACAATCCAGTCATGATGGGTTCAGCCCGACTTTCTCTCTCACATAGACAACCAGTGACAAGGAGTTTGAAGCTCATCTGGGTATCTCATAAGAAGTCTTTCATTGTTGCAATGATTTCAGGCAATTCCAAAACTTGTTGAATCTGTACAAGTTCATTTATTTACATCACCTCTAGATTCCATATTTAGATATACTAAATCCAAAATACTGTATGTAAGGCAGTCTTACAGGTGTGAGGAAAAAACTGTAGGTACAGATTTTCAAATCCAAACATCATACAGTTCTACAAGAACTGCAGGCTTACTTAAAATACACCCTTGCACCCTGTAAAAAGATTCAATAAATTTAATTTAGATAAAGGGGAAAATTTAAGACATTTTTGATTTTAAATGAAAACACATTAAAACACTGGAGCTCATAATCTAGAAAGACAGAGAAGACATCTTCAGAACACTTCAATCTTCCTAAGAATACACAAATAAAATGGAAAAATAATTTTCAATGAAAGACACGCAAAAGTACTTAAACTTTAAAAGTAAATATATACAAAGTAAAAAAGCATTCTTTACTTTGAAAGTTTTTTTAAATAGAGAAAATTTTGTTCTCACCCAGCCGTGTCTAAAATCATTTGCTGACTGTCACTGCCTCACAGTTATCTTTCTGATCTTCCAAGGATTTTCACACAGCATCAGTTTCATGGTTCTGTTGTACTCCATGAAACAAAAAATCTACGGTTCTCCATTCCTTTCTAATAACGGTTAGTGGGAGGTCTCTCCCAATATTTATATTCCTTTGTTGTGCAACAGTCAGAAAAACCAAATCTTCACAAGGTTTGAGCTTCCCAGCCTCTGAGAAAGTCAGATGTTCAGGATCAAAGGATTTTGGTCACCTCCAACCCAGTGCAGTTCAGGGCTCAAAGAGACAAGCGCTTGAAAAACTCAAGCTCCAAAAATTTTTCCATTCCCTTCAACAACCCCTGCTATTACAAAGCAATCTATTCTCAATACAATAGCATAGAAATGTCTACTTCTTCACAAATAATACAGAATATATATTTACTGGTTTTTGTTGTTTAGTCATTAAGTCATGTCCAACTCTTTATGACCCCATGGACCAGAGCACGCCAGGCTCTTCTGTCTTCTACTGCCGCCCGGAGTTGGGTTAAATTCATGTTGGTAGCTTCAGTGACACTGTCCAACTATCTCATCCTCTGTCGTCCCCTTCCCCTCTTGCCCTCACACTTTCCTAACATCAGGGTCTTTTCCAGGGAGTCTTCTCTTCTCATGAGATGGCCAAAGTATTGGAGCCTCAGCTTCAGGATCTGTCCTTCCAGTGAGCACTCAGGGTTGATTTCCTTCAAAATGGATAGGTTTGGTCCAGGGGATTCTCAAGAGTCTCCTCCATCACCACAGTTCAAAAGCATCAATTCTTCCACTGTCAGCCTTCTTTATGGTCCAGCTCTCACTTCCATACATCGCTACTTGAAAAGCCATAGCTTTGACTATGTGGACCTTTGTCAGCAAGGTGATGTCTCTGCTTTTTAATATGCTGTCTAGGTTTGTCATCACTTTCCTCCCAAGAAGCAGGCGTCTTTTAATTTTGTGGGTGATGTCACCATCTGCAGTGATCATGGAGCCGAAGAAGGTAAAATCTGTCACTGCTTCCATATCTTCCCCTTCTACATATTCATTGGTACCCTCTTTAAAATGCAATTACTATTATTATTTGAGGGTAAAGCCTTCTAAAACAAAAGTCAGCTTTTCTCTCTTCACTACTTGCTTTTCTTTCATCAGTTAGCCATAGAACTTGCATCCTTTTCTTTTTACACTAATTTTAAAAAGCTTTCATTGTACAATATGTGCTTATTCTCATTTTTAGCACAAGTTTACACATCTATTTTCTGATAGCTCTCTATTAATTAACGATAGAAGTAAAACACATAACAAGTGGCATTTCAAAAGCACTTCATTTTCTCTCTTTTTTTCCATTACATCAGCATTTGG